TCTCTCTGTGACAGAGGGGTGTTCTCTCTGTGTGACAGAGGGGTGTTCTCTCTGTGTGTTCTCTGTGTGACAGAGGGGTGTTCTGCTGATGTTGAGTCTGTTCTGTGTTTGTGTCGTGATGTTTTCAGACGTGTGCAGGTTTATCGCAGATGCGCCAAAAACAGGGAATGAAAATGACAATTCTTTGTGGGAGCGACTGTGTCCCAACAACACATAAAAAAACATTTTATAATAAAGCAACTCGCGAACAGAAGCAGTGAAGTTAGAGATTAAAAATGAGATTAACACGGATTAAAAAACATAAAGTGCTAAATATGACAGAATCGATCAATTGCAATTAACGTGATAATTTGACACCTTTAGTCAGGCTACATGATTAATATGGATTATACCTGTAATTATGCCTCTAAACGGCCGCTCATCGTTCACACCTGCTGTTTGTGTCGTGTTGAGGAACTTTATCAAATACAGGGTCAGGACGACCAACAGTGGGAGTCTGACATGATTCTGAAATCATCTGAAATCTCACAATTTAACCAACTTGGTTTGACCTGCAGAAACAATCCTCCTCACCAGTCATGATGAAACTGACACTACGGTTCAATTCTTATCTCATAAAACCTCATTCTAAACACACCCAATAACTGCGTCTGCGTCTGCGTCTGCGTCTGCGTCTGCGTCTGTGACACCAGCCTGGTCTGACCAGTAACTTGTGCACTTCTCTTATTCCACTTCACTTAAATAAAACTTCCATATAGATGTACAGCGCTGTGTTCACACTGGTGATGTTTTTTTTTAGAACACACCCATCATCTTTTTATTCAAACTAAGCTCCTCAAGATTCCTGAACTTGTACAATATTATACACTGGTCATTTTATTCAGAGCAATATTTTACTACCACGTAATATTCAAAGCTTATTCAAAATGAGAGAGAGAACTTATCATTTTAGAGGGTATGGACATTTCAAATTGCCTAATGTATGAACGACCCGTGTGTCTGTCTGTGGTGTAAAACTCTGGAACAGACTGGACACACGTCTCAAACAACGACAAAATCTCCATAAATTCAAGTTGTTCTAATAAACACATGGTCTGGTCACAGTTTAAACCTCTCAGGCTCAAATAAAATTTTAGTAACAGGAAAAAATCTGATATTTGGGGAAAATGATCATATGGGGCAGTGATATATATAATCCTGCCTTTGGTTTGAGACCTTCACATGTCGTGTGTCTGGGACGTTGCAGATTTGGTTCGGTGGGAAATTAACACTGAAGACTGAAAATGATATAAACACAAACTTTATGTGTAAATCACTTTTCATAACAATGAAAACATAAAGCTCAGAGTAACAGTTTTACAGCGACAGAACAACATCACTTTTTCGTGTGATGCTCCAAGAAACAATTTTTATCCTTTGTAAACAACAGAAGTACTTTACACTTCTGGTCGTTTGTGTGGAGTTGTTCTTACACAGTCTGTATCGTCCACGTTTATCAGCATGGATGAGAAAAAGGCTCCTGAGTAAAAAAAGCTCATAAAATCTGGATGTGGAGTCAGTAGGTCATTGGCATTTAACTGTTGTAAATCTGCAGCGTCTGGAGACGGATGGAGAGTGGGTCAGAATATTAGAACAAAAGTGCGTCTGTAGCTCTGGTTTATGTTTGTTGTTTTCTTCCCTTTGCTGGTTGTTCTGTCCGTTACATGACTTTTATTTGTTGTTTCTTACCGTCTGGGCGGGGGCAGGGGTGGGGGGTGGGGGGCCTTGGCAAAGTCCAACTATGACAATACAAGCGCTGACAGAAAAGATCAGGATGAGATGAGAGAGCATCTCAAAGAGTTTCAGGAGAAGATCAGAAAAGTGCGTCTGGGTGTGAAGTTCATCAGGAGATACTTTATGGAGAAGAACATGAACACAGACAAACTGACCAACGTGGAAAAGAAGATCAATGAAATGATCAATTCTATCGACAAGGCCTCCGATCTCCAGAGCCTCCTGACAGTCAGTGCTGAGTGCAGATCTGTCATCACCCACCTGGAGGAGGTGAAGCTGGAGATCCTCAACTCACAGAACTGAAGAACAGAACTATCTATCTAAACACCTACAGAACAGAAGAGCTAATGTCAGTCCTCACTCATCATCGTGCTCTTCTCCACTGTTTGAGTTTTCAACCTCTGACATTTATGAATAATTCTGTATGAGATAATTATGAATCATTTATAATCTTTATTATGAGTCAACCTGTGATTTAAAGAGGTAAAGATGTGTGCAGGGAAAATGATAAACTTTAAATCAGATCTGTTCTTCAAACTGTTTTCCTCTGATGTTTCTCCATGTTTTAGTCAGTTCTTCTCTCTGACCCTCTGAAGTTGGATTTGGAGTTTAGTTTTGTTATTTAATGACACATTGACAGTGCACAGTCTACATGAACCTGAACCCGTCTCTGGACAGATTCATTTATTGATTGTATTTATTTGACCTTGACTGTCAACTCTTCTTCCTGTAGACCTGCAGCATGTTTTGCTACACCTGATGTAAAATCACTCTTTTCACCTTGTGTCTTCTGCACATATAGAAGCACAGTTTGGGTTTTGGAACATCTATTACACAATAGTTCTGAAATCTTACTGATTTCTTGGAGACAGTCACAGACCAGGAACTATGAAAGTCCGACTATTGCTCCTCCCCCCGCCCGTCCTGAGAAAGCACAGGCTCCGCCCTCCAAACGTGACATAGACTCTGAGTGAGCCGCCCTTCCTCCGCCGTCTCAGGGAGGGAGGGGGAGACAGGCGTGACCCTGACAGCGGCAGGAATAAACTTTTATTCATCATGGAGACACAGCGTGTTCAGCCGCATGTGTTGGACCTGGAATCAGACGAGGACTTTGAGGAGCACGAAGCTCAAGCACCGAGTCCACATCAACTGAACATTACTGATTGGTAAAGTTTTAATAAACACTAGTAGATCAACTTATTTTATCGTGTTCACTGCAGTGTAGAACAATGAGCTTCTGCTGTCACTTTTGTTTAGATGTTCATGTGGGAACTGTCAGAAGATGCGAGGTGGAGGCGGGGTGGAGGGGGGAGGCGGGGGAGGCGGTGGAGGCAGTAGAGGCAGTGCGTCATAGATGAATCTGCCGCGTCGTCGTTGTAGCAGCTTTAGTTCGTTGTCTCATGGGAAGGAAGCAGAAATACACAGCAATTTGTTAAAAAATGCCAAATCAATGTAAAAACCACTTGGGCGACAAATCCAAGGCCACACATCACTCTGAGAAGAAGAAAGATCTGAAAAGTGGATTTTACAGGAGATGGGCTCTTTAATCTCTTATTATTATTCTTATTAATGAATCACCTCAAAAAGTCGTTTGGAACCCGGGACACTGCCCTTGATTGGTTTTATTCCTCTCTTTTAGACAGAACCTTTGCGGTCACTACAGTTTTTCCTCTTCTGCCTGTTACCTGTGGTGTGCTACAAGGTTCTGTTTTAGGTCCCATTTTATTTTCTATTTATATGCTCCCCCTCGGACACATTATAGCCCACCATAACGTGTCCTTCCACTGCTGTGCCGACGACGCACGGATCTACCTCCCACTAGGGTAGTTCGGATGGACGATGTTATGGTCCATCATGATGTGCTCCCATGCTGATGCCCCGCCCCCTCCTGTCAGAAACACTGATCTTCTGTCGGCCTCGTTAACCTAAAAACTGTGCAGGGATTGAACTGTAAATCACATCACGAATAGAACCAATGTGAAGCTCGTTTAACCTGCAGAGACGTGACGTGTGTCTGTGAAAAGCTCGTTTAGGTCTTGCACCAGGTTACATTTCAGAACTTTTAACCCCGTAGGAGCCTAAGATCTTCAGGTCCCTGTGGTTGTTCCTCTTCAGCCTTAGATCCTCAGGTCCTTGTGGCTGTTCCAAAGTCCATGGAGCCTTTTCAGTTTGGGCGCCTCGGCTTTGGAACGACCTGCCTGAGGAGATGAGGCTCGCACCATCAGTATCATCTTTATTCTTATTCTATTTTATTAATGAATTTATTATAATTAATTGAATTTGTGCTTTTCTCGATGCTGTTTTTATGTTTTTTGTTCTTTGTGGCTTTTTCAGCACTTTGTAAACCTTGTTTTTAAAATTGCTTTATAATTAAAGATTTATTATTATTTTCAAGACTCCATTTTGTCGCTCACCCTCCGTTTCCAGCTCCACCAGTACAAGCCCAGCGTGACGTAAACTGTCACGCCCACGTCAGGACCTGCAGCTCTGGGGCGGATTGACCCGAGTGTGAAGCGTCTGGGGTGAAGATCGGCTCCTCCAAACCCGAGGTCGTGGTTCTCGACGGGAAAAAGACGAGAGGACGTGTGTTTCAGACGCCTGAGGAGGTTTTCATGTCCAACCAGGAGAGACGAAGAGGAAGAACATGGATGGATGATTATCTCTATATTTAAGAGTAAATCTACACACTTTTATTTTATATTCAAGTATTTTTTATTTCCTGTGTGAGCAGAAGTGTGAAAAACAGAAATGATCTGGATAAACAGAAAAGAAGCAAAAACAACTACAGGTAACAGATTATAAAGATCAAGATGTAAGTTTAATTTCAAATATGAACGACATGGAGTAAATCTGCAGATCTAAGGAGCATTTCTCTCATTTTGTTCTTTCTTGCTTCTGTGAAACGTCATTTAAGCGTCGGTTCTGAGCTTCTTGATTAGCAGAAGTGCTCCGTTCAGTTGACAATAAACAGAAACGTGTGTAAGTGTTTTTAGTTGATTTCGTTCTGCTCCTTCTGGAACGTTTCACTTTTATAATTCTAAAATCTCTTCACAGGTTAAAGGTTCAATATTTTAGTGTCTGATCCTGGAAAAGCTCGGAGAAAACAAGTCCTTCTCTCGTTTAGTCCAAATAAAAGTTTTCTCTGAGTCAGGTTCCTCAGGTTCCTCAGGTTCCTCAGGTCTCCTCAGGTTCCTCAGGCTCCTCAGGTTCCTCAGGTCTCCTCTGGGGCGACCACAGGACTGAAGGCGTCTGGTTGGTCGGTTCTTCGTGTTCAGGTCTGGATTTGGGTCGTGTGGAGCGGGTCAGGCGTGTCCGTTTATGATCTACGGTCGTCCTCCCAGCGCCTTCTGCTGGTCGTGGCTGGAGCAGGAGGAGAAGCGCCCCTCGTCTCTCTCCTCCTCCTCCTCCTCTTCTTCTCTCAGGTGTTTCTGGTGTTTCTGGAGGTTCTGGATGTTCTGGAGGTTCTGGATGTTCTGGAGGTTCTGGAGGCCGCGGGGTTCTTCAGGTTTCTCCACGAGCAGCTTCAGGCGGCTCAGGTGATGCAGAGCTCTGGAATCATCGACACGGGAAGAGTTAGAAAAAATGAAATGACACAAACGAGACACATCCAGTTATAAAAAACATAAATAAATAAATCAACTCCTGATGGATTTAAGATTTTACAGATTTTACGTTTACATGAAGTTTTTTATTCTGAATTCAAATCTTCTCCTTGGAGTTTACACGGAAATAATAATTCTGAATTAAGGTCCACGTGGAAAACTCCTTAAATCCTCTTTATTTTATTCAACTCAGCGTCTGGAGGTGGGGAAGGTTCTGATTGGATCCTGGTCTAAACCTCGTACCAGGTCCAGGTCTAAACCGGTTTAGACTTGGATCTGAACCGATTTAGAGCAGGACCTGGTACGAGGTTCGGATCCAGGTCCAAAAGAGTTCAGATTCTGGTCTTAAAAGCTTTGTTACGTCTCGGACCTCATCCAGATTTATTCTTCTGTGCTCTGAGGTCCGAGGTCCAGCTCCAGGGGCCTGAGACCAAAGGAGGACAGGACCTTCTCTGTGCCACGCCCCGACACGGTGGAGAGTTTTAAGTCTCGTCTTAAACCCCACTTGGTCCAGGTCTTTGGTCCAGGTCTTTGGTCCAGGTCTTTGGTCCAGGTCTTTGGTCCAGAGCTTTGGTCCAGAGCTTTGGTCCAGAGCTTTGGTCCAGAGCTTTGGTCCAGAGCTTTGGTCCAGGTCCAGAGCTTTGGTCCAGAGCTTTGGTCCAGGTCTTTGGTCCAGGTCTTTGGTCCAGGGTCAGGTTCATGTTCTGACCTCTGCAGTGAAGGTTCCTCCTCATCCTCCTCTGGACTCTGACACAAACACAGAAAAGAAAAAGTCAAACGTGTGAAAGAAACAAAACACAACTCCAGGAATAAATACATCATGAATTTTGGACTTCAGGTCATGTTGGATCCAAACAGCGGAAAACGACTCCAGAAATGTGTTTGTTGAACTTTGTAAATGTAAAAGTGAATCAGATGTGTGTGACTCAAACCTCCGTTCAAACTGTTTCTCTTCCCAACGGAATTGAAAAACAGTGAAAGGTGAAGGTGATGGGCAGGATTGATCCATCAAAACAAAATCCTGATCCTTCGCTCAACCTCGGTTATAAATTTAAAAAGTCGACGCCAAAGTGAAAGTCTCCAACTGTTCACCAAGAAACACCTTCCACTGCAAAGACCAAGACGTGATGTTTGTGTAAAACCACAAGAACAAGAAAGTGCAGCTCAGTCTGTTACACTTTATAACAACTACACCTTATTTAGCCTTAATAAAGCATGAACAAAGACTTAATTAATAATGAACAAAGACTTAAGTAATAATGATTCACACTTAGTAACTATTTAATTACTACCTTAATTAGCACTTGCACTTTATTTGCCTGTGCTGTAAATAGTTATTCATAATTATTTCATACTTAATTACTCATGAACTAACCATTTGAGCATTTATTAATCATTAGTAAACTATGAGAGAATGATTTACTAATAATGTAATACAATGATCATTCAGGCAGTTAAGTCTTTTTTAGAGCTTTTCTAAAGTGAAGACAAATTATGTTTTATTAAGCATTTACTAAACATGAATCATTATTAATTAAATCTTTGTTCATTATTAATTAAGTCTTTGTTCATGCTTTATTAAGGCTAAGTAAGGTGTAGTTATTATAAAGTGTAACAAACGGGATTTTGTTTTGTCGTGGCTCCACATACAAAATGTTCTCTGTAAACTCAGGGATGATTTCTTAGTCAGACAAATGTTTCCTTTTTGGTTCTTCCTGTGGATCAATCCTGCCCATCACCTTCACCTTTCACTAGTTTTCAATTCCGTTGGGAAGAGAAACAGTTTGAACGGAGGTTTGAGTCACACACATCTGATTCTGAAGTCCGTTTCTCGAGTTGTTTTCCACTGTTTGGATCCAACAACCACACGATTACGACGTCCGAATCCCAAAACTAAAATATGACAATATCAGAACCAGAAACAAAAGTGAAATGGTTCAAAAGACTTGAAAAGATCGACTTTGACAATAAACACGTCCCACTGGGAAAACAAACATGGAGGTTTCACTTTTTCACAGGATCAGTCACAGTGTGAACTGGACGATGACTCAAAGTCTGAAATTCAGGATGTGTGTTTGGTTTTGAGGACACACCTGCGTCAGGGTTTCCTGTAGTGTCCCCTGTCTGTCCTGTAGTGTCCCCTGTCTGTCCTGTAGTGTCCCCTGTCTGTCCTGTAGTCCTGTCTGTCCTGTGGTGTCCTGTAGTGTCCTGTCTGTCCTGTAGTGTCCCTGTCTGTCTGTCCTGTGGTGTCCCCTGTCTGTCCTGTGGTGTCCCCTGTCTGTCCTGTGGTGTCCCTGTCCCTGTCTGTCCTGTGGTGTCCTCTGTCTGTCCTGTGGTGTCCCCTGTCTGTCCTGTAGTGTCCCCTGTCTGTCCTGTGGTGTCCCCTGTCTGTCCTGTAGTGTCTCCTGTCTGTCTGTCCTGTAGTGTCCCCTGTCTGTCCTGTAGTGTCCCCTGTCTGTCCTGTAGTGTCCCCTGTCTGTCCTGTAGTGTCCCCTGTCTGTCCTGTAGTGTCCCCTGTCTGTCCTGTAGTGTCCCCTGTCTGTCCTGTGTCCTGTCTGTCCTGTCTGTCCCCTGTCTGTCCTGTAGTGTCCCCTGTCTGTCCTGTAGTGTCCCCTGTCTGTCCTGTAGTGTCCCTGTCTGTCCTGTAGTGTCCCCTGTCTGTCCTGTAGTGTCCTCTGTCTGTCCTGTAGTGTCCCCTGTCTGTCCTGTGGTGTCCCCTGTCTGTCCTGTAGTGTCCCCTGTCTGTCCTGTAGTGTCCCCTGTCTGTCCTGTAGTGTCCCCTGTCTGTCCTGTGGTGTCCTCTGTTGTGCGTCTTGTCTCCGGTGCAGCTCGGCCTCCACGGACTGAAGTCTGAACAGAATCTGTTTGACCGCCTCCAGAGGACCAGGCTGAGGACACAAGGACACAAGGACAGTGAGGACACGAGGACACAAGGACAGTGAGGACACAGTGAGGACAGAGTGAAAAAGTGAGGACACGAGGACAGAGTGAGGACACAAGGACAGAGTGAGGACACAAGGACAGGAGTGAGGACACGAGGACATGAGGACAGAGTGAGGACACAAGGACAGGAGTGAGGACACGAGGACAGAGTGAGGACACGAGGACATGAGGACAGAGTGAGGACACAAGGACAGGAGTGAGGACACGAGGACAGAGTGAGGACACGAGGACACAGTGAGGACACGAGGACAGGAGTGAGGACACGAGGACACAGTGAGGACACGAGGACAGAGTGAGGACAGGAGGACATGAATAAAGACATGAGGACAGAGTGAGGACACGAGGACACAGTGAGGACACGAGGACACAAGGACAGGAGTGAGGACACGAGGACAGGAGTGAGGACACGAGGACAGAGTGAGGACACGAGGACAGAGTGAGGACACGAGGACAGGAGTGAGGACACGAGGACAGAGTGAGGACACGAGGACAGAGTGAGGACACGAGGACAGAGTGAGGACAGGAGTGAGGACACGAGGACAGGAGTGAGGACACGAGGACAGAGTGAGGACACGAGGACAGAGAGGAGGAGACATGAGGACAGGAGTGAGGACACGAGGACAGAGTGAGGACACGAGGACAGAGTGAGGACAGGGGTGAGGACACGAGGACAGAGTGAGGACACGAGGACAGGAGTGAGGACACGAGGACAGAGTGAGGACACGAGGACAGAGTGAGGACACGAGGACAGGAGTGAGGACACGAGGACAGGAGTGAGGACACGAGGACAGGAGTGAGGACACGAGGACAGGAGTGAGGACACGAGGACAGAGTGAGGACACGAGGACAGGAGTGAGGACACGAGGACAGAGTGAGGACACGAGGACATGAGGACAGAGGGAGGACACGAGGACAGAGTGAGGACACGAGGACAGAGTGAGGACACGAGGACAGAGTGAGGACATGAGGACACAGAGGACATGAGGACACAAGGACAGGAGTGAGGACACGAGGACAGGAGTGAGGACACGAGGACAGAGTGAGGACACGAGGACAGAGTGAGGACACGAGGACAGAGTGAGGACACGAGGACAGGAGTGAGGACATGAGGACAGAGTGAGGACACGAGGACAGGAGTGAGGACAGGAGTGAGGACACGAGGACAGAGTGAGGACAGAGTGAGGACACGAGGACAGGAGTGAGGACATGAGGACAGAGTGAGGACACGAGGACACGAGGACAGGAGTGAGGACACGAGGACAGAGTGAGGACACGAGGACAGGAGTGAGGACAGGGAGTGAGGACACGAGACAGAGTGAGGACACGAGGACAGAGTGAGGACAGAGGAGGACACGAGGACAGGTGAGGACAGTGAGGACACGAGGACAGAGTGAGGACACGAGGACAGGAGTGAGGACACGAGGACAGAGTGAGGACACGAGGACAGAGTGAGGACACGAGGACAGAGTGAGGACAGGAGGTGACATGAATAAAGACATGAGGACAGAGTGAGGACACGAGGACACAGTGAGGACACGAGACATGAGGACACGAGGACAGGAGTGAGGACAGAGTGAGGACACGAGGACAGAGTGAGGACACGAGGACAGGAGTGAGGACAGGAGTGAGGACACGAGGACAGGAGTGAGGACACGAGGACAGAGTGAGGACAGAGTGAGGAGCAGGTACCTGGTTGTTCCGGGTCCCAGGTTCTGGTTCAGGTTCTAGTTCTGGTTCTGGTTCCAGGTTCTGTCTCGGTTCTGGACTCACTGAAACAAACAAAGGTTCTGTTGTCGTCCCTTCATGTCCTGGAGACTGTGGCGCTAACAGGAGGCCCTGGTCTGTCTGGGAGACTCTGGGAGACTCACTTTGATTTGATGAAGTGATGTTGTGTTGAGTGACAGTCATGTGACGTCTTCACCGTTTGGTTTGTTTGTTTGTGTTTTTTCTGCACAAACTCTGACGTTTCACAAACTTTTTAGGATCAGAGTCGAGATTTAAACGTTTTCACTCATATTGAATCAAAAATGCACCGTATCGGAAAGCGTATCGTATCGTGGCCTGTGAATCGTATCGGCAGCTTCTTAGCGATACCAGCCCTGACGTGTACATCCAGTCTCCACAGTAACCGCTGAACAGTACATCATAGAAGTACATGTACAACACCCCCACAGTCACTAAAGCCTAAAGCCTCGTGTTTGTGCTCAGGTTAATGTGGTTCTGACCTGGAGGGTCTGGACTGTGGGTCTGGACTGTGGGTCTGGACTGTGGGTCTGGACTGTGGTTCTGGACTGTGGTTCTGGACTGTGGGTCTGGACTGTGGGTCTGGACTGTGGGTCTGGACTGTGGGTCTGGACTGTGGTTCTGGACTGTGGTTCTGGACTGTGGTCTGGACTGTGGGTCTGGACTGTGGGTCTGGACTGTGGGTCTGACCTGGAGGGACTGGACTTCCTGTGGCTGAGTTCTGAAGAGAGTCCAGGACCTGGTCTGCCTTCTGGATCAGGGACTCGAGTCTCCGGTCTGAAAGAAAGTCACAGTCACACTGTGTGTTTGGGGCTTGTGTGTATGTGTGTCGGGGGTCGTGTGTGTGTGTCGGGGGTCGTGTGTGTGTGTACCTCTGTAGTGGGTGGAGTCGGCGCTCGTGTGTGTCGAGGGTCATGTGTGTGTGTGTCGGGGGCTGTGTGTGCGTGTACCTCTGTAGTGGGTGGAGTCAGGGGTCGTGTGTGTCGGGGGTTGTGTGTGTGTGTGTGTCGGGGTCGTGTGTCTGTGTGTGTCGGGGTCGTGTGTGTGCGTGTACCTCTGTAGTGGGTGGAGTCGGGGCTCGTGTGTGTCGAGGGTCGTGTGTGTGTGTGTGTGGGGTCGTGTGTGTGTGTCGGGGGTCGTGTGTGCGTGTACCTCTGTAGTGGGTGGAGTCAGGGGTCGTGTGTGTTGGGGGTCGTGTGTGTGTGTGTGTGTGTGGGGGGGTCGTGTGTGTGTGTCGGGGGTCGTGTGTGCATGTACCTCTGTAGTGGGTGGAGTCAGGGGTCATGTGTGTCGGGGGTCGTGTGTGTGTGTGTGTGTGGGGGGGGGGTCGTGTGTGTGTGTGTATCGGGGGTCGTGTGTGCGTGTACCTCTGTAGTGGGTGGAGTCGGGGCTCATGTGTGTCGGGGGTCGTGTGTGTGTGTGTGTGTCGTGGGTCGTGTGTGGTTGTGGGGTCGTGTGTGTGTGTGTGTGTCGGGGTCGTGTGTGCGTGTACCTCTGTAGTGGGTGGAGTCAGGGGTCGTGTGTGTGTGTCGGGGGTCGTGTGTGTGTGTCGAGGATCGTGTGTCCTGTGTGTGTCGGAGGTTGTGTGTGTGCGTGTACCTCTGTAGTGGGTGGAGTCGGGGCTCGTGTGTGTCGAGGGTCGTGTGTGTGTGTGTGTCGGGGGTCGTGTGTGTGTGTCGGGGGTCGTGTGTGCATGTACCTCTGTAGTGGGTGGAGTCAGGGGTCGTGTGTGTGTGTGGGGGGGTCGTGTGTGTGTGTGTGTCGGGGGTCGTGTGTGCGTGTACCTCTAGTGGGTGGAGTCAGGGGTCATGTGTGTCGGGGGTCGTGTGTGTGTGTGTGTGGGGGGGGGGTCGTGTGTGTGTGTGTGTCGGGGGTCGTGTGTGTGTGTACCTCTGTAGTGGGTGGAGTCGGGGCTCATGTGTGTCGGGGGTCGTGTGTGTGTGTGTGTCGGGGGTGGTGTGTGTGTTGGGGGTCGTGTGTGTGTGTCGGGGGTCGTGTGTGTGCATGTACCTCTGTAGTGGGTGGAGTCGGGGGCTCGTGTGTGTCGGGGGTCATGTGTGTGTGTGTGTGTGTGTGTGTGTCGGGGGTCGTGTGTGTGTGCGTGTACCTCTGTAGTGGGTGGAGTCAGGGCTCGTGTGTGTCGGGGGTAGTGTGTGTGTGTGTGTGTGTGGGGGGTCGTGTGTGTGTGTCGGGGGTCGTGTGTGCATGTACCTCTGTAGTGGGTGGAGTCAGGGGTCATGTGTGTCGGGGGTCGTGTGTGTGTGTGTGTGTGGGGGGGGGTCGTGTGTGTGTATCGGGGGTCGTGTGTGCGTGTACCTCTGTAGTGGGTGGAGTCGGGGCTCATGTGTGTCGGGGTCGTGTGTGTGTGTGTGTCGGGGGTCGTGTGTGTGTTGGGGTGTGTGTGTGTGTGTGTGTCGGGGTCGTGTGTGCGTGTACCTCTGTAGTGGGTGGAGTCAGGGGTCGTGTGTGTGTGTCGGGGGTCGTGTGTGTGTGTCGAGGATCGTGTGTCCTGTGTGTGTCGGAGGTTGTGTGTGTGCGTGTACCTCTGTAGTGGGTGGAGTCGGGGCTCGTGTGTGTCGAGGGTCGTGTGTGTGTGTGTGTCGTCGGGGTCGTGTTTGTGTGTCGGGGTCGTGTGTGCGTGTACCTCTGTAGTGGGTGGAGTCAGGGGTCGTGTGTGTGTGTGGGGGGTCGTGTGTGTGTGTGTGTCGGGGGTCGTGTGTGCGTGTGTACCTCTAGTGGGTGGAGTCAGGGGTCATGTGTGTCGGGGGTCGTGTGTGTGTGTGTGTGTGTCGGGGTCGTGTGTGTGTGTGTGTGTACCTCTGTAGTGGGTGGAGTCGGGGCTCATGTGTGTCGGGGGTCGTGTGTGTGTGTGTGTCGGGGGTGGTGTGTGTGTTGGGGGTCGTGTGTGTGTGTCGAGGGTCGTGTGTGTGCATGTACCTCTGTAGTGGGTGGAGTCGGGGCTCGTGTGTGTCGGGGGTCATGTGTGTGTGTGTGTGTGTGTGTGTGTGTCGGGGGTAGTGTGTGTGTCGGGGGTCGTGTGTGTGCGTGTACCTCTGTAGTGGGTGGAGTCAGGGCTCGTGTGTGAAATGCGCTGAGCGAAGTGCAGACGGAGACTCTTCAGCGCCTCCTCACTGTCCACCTGCAAACAACACACACATTTAAAGCTGCACTGTGTAACTTTCTTTTCTGTCTTCATGGAAACTGAACCGGACACAGTTCCAGGTCAGATCTGTGGAGAGGCGACCCCGCTCACAGTCACAATGTCTGTTTTTCTGGGTGTTTTTGAGCCATAAATCCTCCTGTGATTGAATAAATGTAAAGTCGAGTTGTTTAAAGTCGCATTGTGGAACATTCCAGACAGAACAGGTGACGGACCTGCCACCAAAAAGTTACGCAGGCGTGTCACGATACGATATCGTCACGGTCTGAACCTCACGATACGATATTTACTGTGATATGGAGGCTCACGATATTCTACAGAATAACAGAGTGACATTATAAAACACTTTGAGTTTCAGTTTCATTTTCAGATCAGTGACTTTTTGAACAGAGTGAAAAAAATTTGACACTGAAGTGAAAAATTCTAAAATAAACAATTGTAATAAAAGTTTATGAGGAGAATCGAGGAGTCGAGTCGTTTAGTCCGACAGAAACTGAACCACATCAGCCACAAGGACGAACTGTTTTTATCAGAGACGTTAGTTTATGTAAATGAGTCATGTGACTTTAAGTTTAGTTTGTGTAAAATGTTCATAAATCTGCATTAAACACTTTATTACTCAGTGTAGATTTGAGTCGTCGTCGTAGGAAATAAAAACAAATTTAAATGTGATGATATTTTATATTTCAGTTCCAGTTTTTCCTCTTAAACCTTTTAGAGTCGACGTTGTCACCGTGGAAACTGGATCAAATCTCTTTATTTTCTGTGATGTGTTTGTTTTTTCTTGAGCTGTTTGAGGCAGTTCTGGTGTAAAAGTTTCACGTAGAGTTTTTTGTCTCGACTTGATTTAGTGAAACCTTCTTGAACGTTTTGGGCGTGTGGGTTTATCCAGGTCCTTCTCATGTTGGAGTTTTTCTCGCTCTTTGTCCGTCAACTTTTCTCTTTTTTCTCGTTTCTCGTCACAAACACAAAATGTTTGTGGAGCTCAGACTTAAAGTGTCTGGTGCGTCCACAGCGGCGCACAGGCCAACCGCCGCCGCAAAGGATCATGGTCCATGTAGTTTACTGAGCAAAACAGACTCAACACTCTGATTTTGATCTAAAGACGCTCAGTTTAATACAAGACCAGACCACGACCGTATCGAGACATCAACAATATCGATACACCTCTAGTAGTTTTAGATGAGCGCCCCCTGCAGGTGTCATCTACTGAAACACAGAGGCTCAAATACAGAGATAAAGAATAATTTTGACAGCTTCTGTATGTGTGTGTGTATTTGTGCGTGTGTGTGTATTTGTGTGTATTTGTGTGTGTGTTACCTGATCGTCGTGTAGTTCTTGGACCCAGGACGGAGCAAAGGAGCCATAGTCTGCACACAAACACACAAACATACCAACACACACACAAACACACACACACACAAACACACAAACACACCAACACACAAACACACCAAACACACAAAAACACACAAACAGTCGGTGAGTTTAAAGTGAGACAAAATCACTACACACACAGTTGAGTTCATGTTCCGATCACATGACTCAGAGCGTCTGCACCTCTGGAGTTTTCTCCCCACGTGTCGAAGCGCCGCAGACGGTGAAACCCGCGATCGCTCGTCTCCGCGTCCGTCCTACACGCACTTCCCTTACTCCACTTACCCGCTTCATTCTGTAAACACGAATGTCTTAAATCGTCCCGTCTTAGCGCTGTGGAGCATAAACCTCGGCGCAGACCCATAAATCAGAAACGACCAGTGTTGGGAAGGTTACTTTTAA